GTGTTCTCTGGAATTGTTACATTGTATCTCCTTTGCTCCTCAGCACCATCTAGTGGCCATAATGTAGAAGAGAGGAGGCAGCAGGGAGGGTTTGAGCAATCAGCAAGCATACAGTAGTTGTAACAATGTATCCAATACCCAGTAACAACGTATCCAATACCCAGTAACAATGTATCCAATACCCAGTAACAACGTATCCAATACCCAGTAACAACGTATCCAATACCCAGTAGCAGCGTATCCAATACCCAGTAACAACGTATCCAATACCCAGTAACAACGTATCCAATACCCAGTAACAACGTATCCAATACCCAGTAACAGCGTATCCAATACCCAGTAACAATGTATCCAATACACAGTAACAACGTATCCAATACCCAGTAACAGCGTATCCAATACACAGTAACAACGTATCCAATACCCAGTAACAGCGTATCCAATACCCAGTAACAATGTATCCAATACCCAGTAACAACGTATCCAATACCCAGTAACAATGTATCCAATACCCAGTAACAGCGTATCCAATACGCAGTAACAACGTATCCAATACCCAGTAACAACGTATCCAATACACAGTAACAGCGTATCCAATACCCAGTAACAACGTATCCAATACCCAGTAGCAGCGTATCCAATACCCAGTAACAATGTATCCAATACACAGTAGCAGCGTATCCAATACCCAGTAACAATGTATCCAATACACAGTAACAACGTATCCAATACCCAGTAACAATGTATCCAATACCCAGTAACAATGTATCCAATACACAGTAACAACGTATCCAATACCCAGTAACAATGTATCCAATACCCAGTAGCAGCGTATCCAATACCCAGTAACAACGTATCCAATACCCAGTAACAACGTATCCAATACACAGTAACAATGTATCCAATACCCAGTAACAGCGTATCCAATACACAGTAACAACGTATCCAATACCCAGTAACAGCGTATCCAATACACAGTAACAACGTATCCAATACCCAGTAACAACGTATCCAATACCCAGTAACAGCGTATCCAATACCCAGTAACAATGTATCCAATACCCAGTAACAACGTATCCAATACGCAGTAACAACGTATCCAATACCCAGTAACAGCGTATCCAATACCCAGTAACAACGTATCCAATACACAGTAACAGCGTATCCAATACCCAGTAACAACGTATCCAATACCCAGTAGCAGCGTATCCAATACCCAGTAACAATGTATCCAATACACAGTAGCAGCGTATCCAATACCCAGTAACAATGTATCCAATACACAGTAACAACGTATCCAATACCCAGTAACAATGTATCCAATACCCAGTAACAATGTATCCAATACACAGTAACAACGTATCCAATACCCAGTAACAATGTATCCAATACCCAGTAACAATGTATCCAATACACAGTAACAATGTATCCAATACCCAGTAGCAGCGTATCCAATACCCAGTAACAACGTATCCAATACCCAGTAACAACGTATCCAATACCCAGTAACAATGTATCCAATACCCAGTAGCAGCGTATCCAATACCCAGTAGCAGCGTATCCAATACCCAGTAACAATGTATCCAATACCCAGTAACAACGTATCCAATACCCAGTAACAACGTATCCAATACCCAGTAGCAATGTATTTATACTTTTCTCATATGATGTAACACATTTATTTTTCAAATTTATGTTTTAAAGAAAAAACAAAAAAGCGCGATGAAGCTTGCGGGCCGCCGTCTTGGGGTGCATGGTGGTCGCGGTAGATCCCAGGCAGTGGGGGAAATGCCCTTAGGGGCTCCCAGAGTCCTCATGCAGACTATTATGTATACAATGTAACGATGGCGGCGACCCGCGTGTCACTTCACGGAGAAGATCGCGAAGACAAATTTCCTGCACGAGTGGAAAAAAAGAGGCCCATTGTCTTCTGAGGGGGGCGGGGCCAGGCGTGGGCTTTGATGCCGATACACATGACAGGGTTGGGAGAGATGGGTCCCGGGCCTGGACGCACCTGGCATTGTACAGAGTGCTGGATTGGATCACCTCGGTGGGGGGGGGGGACCCCCAGGGCCCCTCAGGGGGGCCACACTTCGATGTGACTTGTCGCTCTGCAAAGCTGGACCCGCTGGGACATGTACAACATTCAGGTACGACTTTCGTGGAAAGTCGGAGCAAAGTCATGCAGAAACTACTTGGAAGTCGCACAGATATGAAGGGTTGTTGGAAAACATGGGGGTACGACTTGATCCACCCCAGCAACAACAGAACCCACAGCAACAATAGATCCCACAGCAACAATAGTTAGCTGGAACAACAGAGCTGTCAGCAACAATATCAATAGACCCTTCAGAAACCTTAGACCCCCCACAGTAACAATAGACCCCTCCAGCACCAATAGACCCTTGCCAGTAACAACAGATCCCCACAGCAACAGTAGACCTCTGTTGGCTACAGTAGATCTCCAATATCAATAGACCATTCAGCAACAATTGACTCACCCCCAGCAACAATAGAGCCCTGCCAACACCAGCTCCCCCTGCCACAATAGATCTACCAACAGCCAGTATCAATATACCCTCCAGCCACCAGCAAAACTAGACACCCTCCCAACAACAAATCACCCTCCCCACAGCAACAATAGACCCTTGCCAGCAACAACAGATCCTTGCAGCAACAATAGACCTTTGTTGGCAATAATAGATCTCCCATCAGCCAATATCAACAGACCCTCCAGCAACACTAGACACCCTCCCAGCAACAAATGACCCCCCCAGCAACAACGGATCGCCGCAGCAACAATAGAGCCCTGCCAGCAACAGGCCCCCTGCAACAATAGATCTACTAGCAGCTAGTATCAATATGCCCTCCAGCCACCAGCAACACTAGACACCCTCCCAACAACAAAATACCCCCCACAGTAACAACAGATCCCTGCAGCAACAATAGATCTCCCAGAAGCCAATATCAACAGACCCTCCAGCAACACTAGACACCCAGCAACAGTAGACCCTTGCCAGCAACAACTTACCCCCCAAACAACAGACCCTTGCCAGCAACAACAGTTCCCCGCAGCAACAATAGACACCCTCCCAGCGACAAAAGACCCCCCCCCCAGCAACAATAGACCCTTGCCACCAACAATAGACCCTTGCCAAACAACAGATCCCCGCAGCAACAATAGAGCCCTGCCAGCAACAGGCCCCCTGAAACAATAGATCTACCAGCAGCCAGTATCAATATACCCTCCAGCCACCAGCAACACTAGACACCCTCCCAACATCAAATTACCCCCACAGTAACAATAGACCCTTGTCGGCAAAAACAGATCCCTGCAGCAGCAAAGATCTCCCAGAAGGCAATATCAACAGACCCTCCAGCAACAAATAACCCCCAGCAACAATAGACCCTACCAGAAACAACAGATCCCCATAGCAACAATACAGCCCGGCCAGCAACAATAGATCCACCAGCAGCCAATATCAATGTACCCTCCAGCCACCAGCAACACTAGACACCCTCCCAACAATAAATTCCCCCCCCCCACAGTAACAATAGTCCCTTGCCAGCAATAACAGATCCCTGCAGCAACAATAGATCTCCCAGAAGCCAATATCAACAGACCCTCCAGCAACAAATGACCCCCCAGCAACAATAGACCCCACCCCCAGCAACAACAGACCCTTGCCAGCAACAACAGATCCCCTCAGCAACAATAGTTGCCCCAAGCAACAATAGGCCCCCCCTGCAACAATAGATCTACCAGCAGCCAGTATCAATATACCCTCCAGCCACCAGCAACACTAGACACCCTCCCAACAACAAATCATCCCCCCCACAGTACCAATAGACCATTGCCAGCAACAATAGACCCTTGCCAGCAATAAACAGATCCCTGCAGCAACAATAGATCTCCCAGAAGCCAATATCAACAGACCCTCCAGCAACACTAGACACCCTCCCAACAACAAATCATCCCCCCCACAGTACCAATAGACCATTGCCAGCAAAACAATAGACCCTTGCCAGCAATAACAGATCCCTGCAGCAACAATAGATCTCCCAGAAGCCAATATCAACAGACCCTCCAGCAACACTAGACACCCTCCCCAGCAACAAAATGACCCCCCAGCAACAATAGACCCTTGCCAGCAACAATTGACCCCAGCAACAACAGACCCTTGCCAGCAACAACAGTGCCCCGCAGCAACAATAGTTGCTCCAAGCAACACCAGCCCCCCCCTGCAACAATAGATCTACCAGCAGCCAGTATCAATATACCCTGCAGCCACCAGCAATGCTAGACACCAGCCCCCCCCCCCCCCCACCACCAACAGACCTCCCTGGAGACAATAGCTCCTCCAGCTCACCCACCCCAGCACCCCTTGCCATTACATACAGTCAGTGCTGGGGGTGCTGGGAATGGAATCCCTCCGCCTTCCTCCCCCCCTGAGAACAAAGCCCTGAGTATCTCGGAGTTCCCCTTTAAGCAGGTCATTTCTTCCTTTACATATGAGAAGAAAACTTGTTTTTGCCGGAGATGAGCCTTGATGTGTGTTTTACTGATCGGTGTCGTCACTAATCCATTTCTGCTGACAGCTGGATCTGTGAATACGGGAAGACGTATTCTGCGCATTACAGAAGATTGATCTGTTTTCTTTTTCTCTATGAAATCAGGGAGGTATTGGGGGTGGGGTGGGGGGGGGGGGGGGATTTCTCAGCCCCGAGGTCTCCTTCCCATCTGGGACATTTGTAAGGCACCTTTCACTGCGCACCAGCTTCCATAATCCCCCAAAGGGCTTTTCCCTTCCATCCGAGCTAAAAGTCTGATAAGAGGATTGAATGCCACGCATCATAAATTAAAGACTGAATGGGCCCCTTTGTCATGTGACCGCCGGTTTTTCCACCTCCATGGTTGACAAGGCGCTGGCGTCAATTACATAATGGATTCTCCCACGATAGGCTTGCTTAGGGTAGAGTTACGGCGGTGAAAACAGACG